ACTACAGGCTGCACTTTCCTTTTCCTAGAGGAAAGATGATGCATTCACAGCAGTAAATTCAACATTTCTGCCTCTATGGTTAATTAACCATAACACAGAAGTAGCACAGCAAGCAGTGAGAATGTTTATAGGCAAGGAAGGGATTGAGAAAGGAAGGAAGATTAGAGAAAAAAAAAAAAAAAAAAGGGTGACTGAAATCTAAGAACGATCCAGAGCAAAAGGAGTGATAACCCTGAGCTTTCAAATATCAAAGCCACGTAAACATTAGTTGGAGGTATCTTCATGTTTGTTTCATGCTATAAGTTTCCTCAAAGTATAAAATAAAGATGGATCTGTGTCCAGAAAGATTTTACATTTTTTCTTGGTGCTCCAACTTCAATGTCATATGGGCAAACATGTAAGTAGTGGGAAGAGAAGGTTTTTTGATTTGCCTAAAATAATGATGCAGTTTTCTTCCTGTTTCGGCACAGACAGACGTCTCTTAAAATTCTGTGCTAAAAACGTATTTTTTTTACAAATAAGTATGTATGATTTGAATGTCTCCAAATTCATTTATCTTTAGAAGCATTAAGCAAGACAAGTTTTGTGAGCAGAGGCCACATCTTTTATTAAACCAATTAATAGAGTAGAAAAATAGCTAGAAAACTTTTCTTTGCTACTTAGACCATGGCTGAAATGAATGAGGAATGTACTTTGCTTTTGTAATATGTGTTTAATATTACTTTGAGATTATTTGGCCTTACCTCAGGAGAATCATTTGATAACTTCCCTTAGCTGGTTCATTTTAGCAGTGATTCCCCAGCTTCTACACCATTAATTAGTAGATAAGCCAAGCTAAGGCAACAATAAGTAAGCAAGCATAATAAGTAAGCAAGACTGAGTATTTCAGGGGTTTCTTTTCTGACCACTTTATGATCTTAAGAAAAGCAAACTTCATCTGTGACTGCGTCTTTCTGTGTTCATGGTGTATCAGAATCCTCATTACAGATCAATTAGTCTGGTTTTGAGCCTTTTAGATTCAGGATCACAGGATTAATGAAAAAAAAATGAGTTGGTAGCAATATTATTTCATATGGAGATAAGGAGAGACTGAGCATGAATGAGGATCTCAAGATGCCTGAATAAAGAATTTCCTCATTCTGTCAGTGAAGTTTTATGGGATATGGAGGGAGGATTATGGGAATATTCATGACTAGATCAAGAGACATAATGAGTTGATGTATGAACCAGCTTATCTTTTAGGTAAACACCGGGTAAATGGGAAGTAGAATAGCCATTCATTGCCTCTAGGCCTGTGAATTTTACTGTTCTAAAGATGGAAACAAGGGGTTAGTTACAGTTGTTCTTCATTGATTCCATTCGATTTTTGATCACTGTTTAACAGGTGCTGGAAGAATTGGGTATTTGTAACTTCAGGTCTTTATTAAAACTACCAAATACCACATCATCTGTCTAGAGTCCAGCATAAACAATAGTATATATTAAATATTCTGCAGTACCGTACAGTAAGAATGTAGTATTTTAACAGTTTCCTGTGATATTGGAACATTGTATAACAGTGCTGGGGTAGTTCAACCTACTACAAAAATAATTTGCTAGCAATCTGAATGCTTTTAATCTGTTGCTTACTTGTGGTACTGTATTTTTCCATGTACAAAACCTAGAAAAAGCAACAAGGTCACTTTTTTCTACTCCTTAATTTACTTATATAGTAAATATTCTCTGAAACCCAAGTGGTGTCCTGGGTTTGACATGTTGATAAACCTTCCTCAAAATAAAATGTCCTGTATGTAATTTACAAGTTAAATCACTAATATTTTTATCTAAGTGTCAATAAAAACCCTGGAAATGTGGGTACACAGCCTCTGCATTTCACAGAGGAGGGATCTCCCCCAAATAAGGATGGGTAGCCTTTGACTCGAGTTGTAACAATTCATTGTTGTTCCAAATGCAATGTCATGTGGTGCTGATGAAACTGTGGGCACTTATCCCAGAACTGCAGACCCTGCACTTGCACTCATTAGAAGAGTTCAAGTTCTGCCTGAGCATTTATATTTACTGGTTTATTAAGATTAGTATTGTGTAAATGCCTAACTCTGCCATTATCCTATTTAAGTATAAACCAATTTAGCAGCCTGCTTCCCTGTGCTACAGAATGGGCTTGTGGGAAAATGTTACAGGTTGGCTGGGGTCTGCTGCTGCAAAAGGCTTTACTGCTGCTGAGAATACAGGTTATAGAATGAATAATTGCAGCTATTTGGCAGTCACTGTAACTGTTCTTTTTTAAGAATAGCCAGCATGTTTTTTCAAAGTATTAAATTACCTCAAGACCTCATAATTATTACAGTTAAGCAATCATTTCAATTCAGTCCAAATATAAAAAGTAATAAAGTGCTCATAATAAGGAGTCAATTTTAGTATGTCTGTTCTCTGAGCAAACACAGCTGATTCAGTATATTCTGGTGGAATACATGTTTGGGATCCTGTTATTTTAATATGCCCAAATCAGAAAATTAAAATAGATTTTGTTGGCACAAACCTTTTTTTGAGGGTAAAATAATTATAGATTTTTGCTGATGCTATTAATTTTCAGGACTGGAGTATTTCATTAGCAAGAGGTTGAGAAGGGAAAATATTTGCATTTAATACTGCTAAATCTGCCTGCTTTCACTGAGTCTAATGGCTCGATCAATATAAAGAACATATTTGGGGAAAGCATGTAGCAATTAAAAAAAATCCACATCAAAAATAAAGCTAATAAAAGCACAACATAAATCTTTGAGTCGTAAGAGCTGGGCTCCAGTTATCACTGGCAACTGCTGCACATTTTAGAGAGTGAGGTTCAGGATTAATAATTTCCAAAAATATGTCGACCCTGCCCAAGATAATAGGAGATTATTTCAAAGGCTAATGTTGTAAGCATACATAAAGCATCACTGTTGGAAACTGAGCTGAGTGCTTGCCTAAATAAATGCTATACAATTAACATTTTCATTACACAAGAGTTTCATATGCTGTCACAGAAACAATACATATTTTCTTTTTTTTTTATTTAAAAAGATAGTAATGAAAACCCTTTGTGTTCAGTAAGGATAAGTGATCATGGCACTACTGTTGGGTTTTTTTTCATTGCCAACTTTCAAAGATTCTCCCTGCTGA